GGGGGGGGGGGGGGGGGGCAGAAGCATGTGATGGCAAGGCCTATACCCGAACACGCCAAAGTGTGTTGGTTGTCTTGTCCCTAGGCGTGGCGACGGGCACCTCGGAATTTCGGGGGCGCAGCGTTGCAGAAGCGCTGGAAGCAAAGGCTGTTACAAGAGCGTGCTGATATCCGACATTTCAAGTAGAACTTGCCCACCTACCTACGTATGGTGAAGACTCTTACGGCCTGCTGATATTCGTTATTTCAAGTCGAACTTGCCATCTACCCACGGTGCAGATATCATGTATGATTGGCAAACAGAAAGAAGGCGCAGAGGAACTAAACTACAGTTCGCATGTCCGCGGGCGAGTGTGGGTCACTGCGAGCATGAGCTCTGCTGGTGCTGCTGCTCCCTGATACGACGATGGTAAAGATACATACATACGCATACCACGTGCTACGCGTCATACCATGGTATACTTTCGCGATAATCTACACAAGACAGCAGTGTCTTCCAGGAAGGAAAAGACGCGAGAAGAAGAATAAGAATTTGCCAAATACAAGAACGATACGCTGGTGTTCCTTTCCGTATTTCCTTTGCCCATGGATTCCGAAGCGGCTTCTTCTTTGCTTTCCTCGACAACTAAAGAAAAAGTGATCGTATGTAGTATATATTAAAAGAAATAAAAAACTCACATCATCTCCCCGCATCGCTCGTTGAGGTAGCGGGTGTTCCACAAGTGCGGATCCAGGCCGTTCGCTAGGCCGTTGATGACGACCGTTACGTCCGGCCTCTCGAACAGCCCCAGCACGTACGCCTCGTCCAACGGGTCTATCCTGCTCAACGATTCGTCCAACGGGTCTATCGTGCTCAACGATTGATTGGTTGATTGATTGGTTGATTGATTCTTGGTCCTGGGTTGATCAGCCCACCTACCACGAGACCATTTTTCGTTACCTAATTTGTTTTTGGCAACTTCAGCGCCGAGCCGAGCCTTAGCGTCTACTAATAGTGTCACTCTAAATTCCTGGTCATGAACCAGTACACGAAACAGAAAATCGAACAATTACGTCTGTTTGCTGTTTGCTTCCATGCCCTCGTTTGCACCCTCGGGAGGAGAGGTTCAAAAATCTGTTCCGCCCATCCTTGTAAAGTTTCCAAAATTGCCTGGCCATCAGCCACGACGTGACTTCCAAAGAACAACCGAGTATTTGTGTGTTTCAGGGTATGTTCTCTAATAAGCAAGGGCTGCAAAAGCGACGTTATTCTACCACGGTATGGGTAGCCTGCAAGAGTCGCCTATAAATTGTACAGAACGCGCCACCTCTTAAGAACCTCTATTGTAGGTTCGGTCGAGGCTGGGGTTGTTAGTTCCTATCAAGGGTCATGCTACGAATGGTCGCTATATATATAGGTTTTCGTGTAGGGGTTCTTGACCGAGCTCACAAATGGTGCTCAAGCTCTTTAATTATGATTTTTTTTGGGCTCCATTTCTTAAGTCTTGAGTGGTGGCGCACAAGCCAGACGAGTACGCTCAACGTGGCATGTGTATCCAAAGTCCAAAAAATCATCGTGGGTATTTCAGTAACACATCATTATTTATCTGCGCTCTTACTGGACCTCTTACGCCCAACTACAGCTTCCCGTCTAAAGGCAAAGCCAGCTACAGGTAGGTTTAGGTTCCGAGCATTCTTTTCCACTACTGCTGTTGCGGGGGGCCGTCAACAACGCGGGGTGACCAGCTCCTGTCGGTTGCCCTGTAGTCTATTCTGTAGCCTATATAGCGCCGGTAAAAAAGCAGGGCAAAGATCGCATCACCATGTCATCCTGTACATCGGATAGCGCCAACAGTCCCTCTGAATAGCGCCGGTCGATGCACCGGCGACGTACCGGTGTGTTTTTGAGGGGCCCGAACTGTTGTACCGTAGGTTGCATGACGTAAGATACCACACCCCCTGGACCGATTTTCAAAGCTCGGTTACTCCTCGATGAAGAGGACGCCGAAATTCAAGTATACGTTTTCGGAAAGGTCTCGACGAGACGGTTCCAACACCGCCATTTTCGGCGCCGTCACTACTTTTCCTGCCGAGATATCGAGCTTCGAAAACCGGTCCAGGGAGTGTGATACATTGTGCAACCTACGCATGTACGTACACCCGTACCAGAGCAATGTTTTGACTTGTGAATTTTCCATGGTGCATTGCGTAACAACAGGTAACACGACACAGAGGACTGGTACATCATACAGCCGTCGCCAATTTTTAGGGTTATGATGGACTGACTGCTGTCTTCGGCCACACGACACAAGAGACAGCAGATCCTCATTCAAAAATGTACAAGTCGGCATACACGTGTCGTCGTGAACATGGCTAACGTATGCAGCTCAAGTCTAATTTTCAAAAAATTGAATGAGCCTGACAGCAACGTACGCAACCAATACCAACAGCATTTGTGGTGGGTACAACTCAACCAGTTCTTCTACCTCTTTCCCCCTAGCAGCGGCTGACAGCCGAAGTGGTGTGTAGACGCGAGCGCGGTCGGCAAAAAATAAGAACTTAGCAGTGGTAGGAGAGCAATCGCGCCGCATTTTCTCTTGAGAGAATGGATCAATGGATCGCATGATGCTCCACCCTCACGACCTCCCCCCCGTCCACAGCACCGCCGCCGGCCTCCCCCCATACGCCCCGCCCGATCGAAACATCCCATAGCACCGTAAACTATGTGCAGCAGGTGCGGGGTCGTTCGGGAGAAGCCACCAGCTGCCCGCATGCACACGACCGTCAATCCTCTCACCTTGCGCCGCTCTTGGAGAAATCAGCTCGGACGAGTCTGTTCTTCATATCAATCCGGTACTTGTGAGCGGTGGCAGCGGGCGGGCCGGGTATATCACCGGGAGGCTGCATATTCAAGAACGCCATGACGGCGCCGTGGCCGCTAGATAATGTATGACACCTGTGTTGGTACTGTGTTGGTACACAACAGCAGTGTGTACTACTGCTGCGGTGTGGTAATATGTCCCATGACATCACGCGGGGGGTTCCATCACATCACGAGGGGGGTTCCGTATTTACGGTTTGGGTCCGCTTGAATGCAATTGATCAAAGTACCTTACCATGTGGGTCATGCCAATTAAGCTGCGTTCGTGTGGGAGGAAATGGTATAGTCTAGTCTATGGTACATCGTTTGTGTGAACATCAGGGCGAAAAGATGCAACGCAGAAATTCACAGTTGTTTTATCCAATAGGCATCGTTTTTGCCTTCGTATAGCTGCACAGCTACAGTACATCCTATGTATCCTTCATGTAGTTCAGACATGCGGAGTATACTACAAGCCAGTAAATGCATAGCAGAGTGGATTCTAGGGTCGTATTTGCTCTAATACTGGACCAGTCTACTGCTGAAGCGTGGAATGGAAGTGTCAAATCTACAATTTACGCTGCCTGATGATGATGTGTATGGGATGTACATACAAGACCCACGCTGATGGCTGTGACGTGTACCTGGCTTAGCGCTCCTCCGCGGGTGTTGTTGTGGAATTAACGGTATGACAGGACTCTCGAGATGGCTTGTTTATCGCCGGCAAATCTACGAAGTTCAAACTCAATTTTGAACTGCGCTAGCGCGCTGATGAATACATCTAAATACTAAAATCTCCCAACCTAACCTCAGTCTAGCGTGGACGGAAGAGAACGTCCAGGATTTGTTGGAATTCATGGCTTCCTTCAACAACGTGGTGGATCCTTCCGGGCCGCGAGGGAAATTTTCGAAAGCGCCCGTTGGTTGCGGATAGCTGGTGAATTAAGGGTAGCCAGAACGGCAGCAATAATAGATCAGCAGCGAGGCATCGTCACCAAGCAAAGCTGCGTGACGTTGACCACATTCCAACCGAACACAGCACGAAACAAATTATTATAGCTACGCAGGAAACGAGCGAGTCAGACCAGGGCTGGGGGGGCTTCTGGGGGGGCTTCGACGCCTGCGTTGGGGTTGGGAAATGGACGACCGATTCCTTATAGGAGGCCGTGAGCGACGCAATTTTTACGAAGGAGACCATCCCCGGCGGAGGAAGCGTGTCAGCGCAGCAACAAGAAAAATTCTACATGATGCCACCCCCACGTTAGCACTGATTGGGTGTGTACTCCGGGGAATAGGCAACACTTGAGGTCTGGTCACAAACTGCGCAGTGTGGCCCAGTGTTCCTGAATGCTGTGACAGAGGGGAAACTGATTTTTTCCCATCACTGTGTACACGCGTTGCGCAAGACAAAGCTAGCACCCCCCGGCAATCCCCTACTCCGCTTGCAGCCAACGGCTGCCACACACGCCCGCGATACAGGAACGCTCCAATGAGAGAAAACGAGTGTTTCAGCTCCCTCCGCGACTCTAACGCCTCCTCCGCTACCGTACTACGGCTGTTTTGGGGTGGGTCGGAGGCTGGAGCACTGCCGCTGCCACCACCAAAGGCGGCTTGCCAAAGTACCGCTCGCGCTTCTGCAACGGTGGCAACCCGACACCGATCCCGCCAACACACGGCCGCCCAAATCAACAGCAACGACAAGAAGACGCGCACCGCCCTTGACAGAGCAACTTAGATGGCTCCTTTGCCGCTCCCTCCCGGCTCGAACAGAAAGGACAAGCAACGTCATACCGAAAAACTAACTGGGCTCGAGGAGACTTCACGAACGGCCTCATCTCACGGGCTACGTGGACGGACGCGTGTCTACCCCTTCGCTGCTAGCCCGGTCCCCGGCACCGCCGCCGCCGCCGCGCGCAACGTCTAGCATGCGTCGATATCGTTCCTGCAGGAGACTGTCGGTGATTGCCTCGTTGAGGATGTCCGCACCCCCCGGGATAGAGTCTTGAGATGCACGACGACGGCGGCCCAAAGAGAACATGGGGGGCGGGGGGGGGAGGGCGTACCCATGGTTTGCATGCGTTAGTTGTAACAATAGACACTTGACCACGCGTGCGCGAGAGGACGGTGCGCGAGAGGGCGGAGTATTGTTCCTTCCCAGAGGACCGATCACCGATGGCCAATCGCCCCTTCCTACTTTGCCAAAGGTGGCTAAAAAAAATTGCCCCAGCGGGGGGGGTGGGGACGACCAGGAATCGGTGAGACTAGACCCATTAACGACAATGCGCAGGTAGGGTAGAGACATGTACCGGTGGGGGTGGGGATGGTGGGTTGACTGTTGGCCACGTGTTGAGACGATTCAACTCCACGCTTGCGCGTGGCGCGGATAAGACGGATCCCTCAAACCATGCCCGATAAGATGCTCGGGTGCGCCGTGGTGTGTCCTACTTAGCACCCATCTTCCTGGAGCAACGCAGCACATGGACACTTCCTTACACCCACGAGTGCGAACTCAACACCAGCAAAAGTCTGTCCACCACCACATCGTCACGTGCTGCCACAACAACTACAGCAGTATTCGGCCAAATTAGGATAGGGAAGCTGGAAATGACTGTATGTCCAGACGCTTCGGTGGAAGTTGCTTTCATGGAATTTTCGGTGCTTCCACGGAAGTCGGTTTCGACCTCTGTCGCCCACTTCCCATGAATTTGCTTTAATGGGAGTTTCGTGCTCCCGTGGAAGTAGCAGAGACGCTGTCAAGCGACGAGCTTTCATGAAAGTAGTACTTCCATGGAAGCTCGTGGCGCTTCCGTGGAAGTCCGAAATGCAACTTCCATGGAAGCAACGAGCGGGTGATATCGGGTGCTTCCATGGAAGCGGATCAACTTCGATGGAAGTTGTTTACCGCTTCCATGGAAGCATCATGGAAGCTGCAACCCGAAACAGACGAACAGATTCCATGGAAGCCCAATCGATTTCCATGGAAGTCATCTAACTTCCAGTAAGTCGATATTGACTTCCATGGAAGTAACAGTGACTTCCATGGAAGGGGCAACCACTTCCATGGAATTTCGACTTCCAGGGAAGCTTATTCCATTTGTCAAAGAGTGTAGGTTATCCGGGGGGGGGGGGGGCGGCATCAACGAAAAGCATACCACAACTCAACGATCGCAACAACGCTACTGTACCCGGCCGCCACATTCATGCTTGCCTGTTTTCGGGGCGTACAGCTCCTTCTCGGCAAAGCCTATCTCCGCCATGGCGAGCCGCTGCAGCCGATCCCCCCCCGGCGAAGCCACGCTCTTCACGGCTCGTCGGGGCGGTGGCAAGGGCGTCCCCGGCCCGGCCGACTCCTCCCCCAAACCCCCGCCCACACCTCCGCCACCTCCGCCACGGCCGCCACCGCCACCACCGCCGCCAATGGCTCCAACCCTCGCCGCCGCCTCACCCCCCACCCCGCTCCCTGCCATCCCGCTTCTCAAAGGCCGCCCCACCACTGCCACCGCCGCGGCAACTGGAAATCTGTCCACCGGTGATACAACCCCCCGTGTGTCGACCGAAGTCGGATCTGTTGGGTCCGCTACGTTTGTTCCCCCCACCCTTGTCCCTGATCCTACCCCAGCTCCTTGGGCAAGGGGGTCCCGTGCGGGGAAACTGGGGT